GTAGCGCTGGTCCTTGCAACCCAGTTGCTTGCTGGAATGGGACCACCAGGCCCGTTCCAACGCCATGTCGAAGTGCCACTGGTTTGGTAACAACCCCTTTCTTTCCGGTTACCGGTGAAGGCCGTGACTCTCAAAGCAAGAATGCGCTGGATGTCGCTCTGGAAGCGCCTCTTATTACCTTGCTCCAGAAGAGCGCAGCTGCCTCACAGCAATGGGCTTTCCTTGCAGCCACCTTGCTCGAAACGCTGTGGGATCACTTTCATGGCCCGCCTTACAGACCCGGGGCCGAGGCGCCCCCTCGCAGCAGGCCTGGCCGTCAGGTTCTACTCGCTGATATCATAGAGGTCAGTGCGCACCAACGTAGCTGTCTTGAACTGCAGGCCCTCTTACCTCACACCCTTTCACCAGCACAGGAAGATTGGCTTGATTCCGATCTTGGCGAGGTGTTGTCCAACAATGGCCTACCACTGGACTTGCGCACTCGGCTTGCCAATCTGCGCCTTTGGCACGAGGCTGGCCGTCCTCCACCGGACCGCCTTTTGGTTTACACCGACGGCTCAGCTACCACTGGGTCTCATGATGTGCAACCGTGCGCATGGGCCTTTGCCGTGTTTGGAGTGTGTGGCTTCGACACCTTCTTGATAGGGCATGCCTCCGCAGCTGCGCGGCCTCCGGGTACGGAGTTTTACCTGGGAGAGTGCATTGACGATGCTCTCACTGCCGAATTGCTCGCTTTGTGCTGGGCACTATCATGGGCGGCGCAGTTTGCCGAGATCTATCAGGTCACTACTACTTTTCTCTATGATTCTCTCGCTGCTGGAGAGGGCACCTTTGGTGCCGCTGCCCTAGTCTCCGGTGCTCACCCTGAGTTTTATCAGGAGCTTGCCAAGTTCGCTGTCGTGCTGCGGCAGTATGTTGAAGCCCGCACGAAGATCGCGCACGACCATGTGCAGGGACACTCAGGCGAGTTGGGAAACGATCTCGTGGACTCACTGGCCAAGACGGCGCGGAGAGTTTCGGCACCCGATGACCAACTTGTGCTTCCATCTTGGCCGGCAGCTCTGGCCGCACACCCGCTCCGGGAGTGGGCCTGGGCGTGTGCTCCTGGTTTGAAGGACGTGCCTTGCCCATTTAACTTCGAGGTTGAAGCTCAGCTTGCACAGGAGCACTTTCGACGACCCAGTGTCGCCCCCCTCTTTGGATTGGAGTGCAAAGAGCTGCCTGAAGCCGAAGCGTTCTTCAACTTTACTTGCATTAGCTTCAATGCCCTTACCCTTAAAGACCCTAAGGGTGGGGCTTCATGCAAGGCCTCTCACGTAGGCCTAAAGCTTGTTGGCAGGAAAGCGGTTCTTAAGCGCTCCTTGTCAGAGCATAAGCCGACCATAGTTGGACTCCAAGAGACCCGTATATTCGGCACCGAGATGCAACCGGATGATTCCTTCTTCATCTACAATGCGTCCGCTACTGAATCAGGTACAGGCGGATGCTCTCTCTGGATTTCCAAAGTTGAACCTTATGGTCAAGGTCCGGAAGGGCCCCTACGGTTCACCGAGCGGGATGTAACAGTTTTGAGCTGCTCAGCACGGCACCTCACTGCCAATCTTGTTACTGATCGCATCAAGCTCCAGGTACAAGTTATTCATGCTCCGTCGGCCGCCAGCGTGCCTGTTGCAGATCTGACTAGTTTCTGGTCTGCTCGCTTGCACGAGCTCAATACTCGGCCGGCTGGAGCAGACTTCATCCTCCTGTGCGATGCGAATGCACGCTTGGGCAGTGTTGCCACTGAGGCGGTAGGGGCTCACCATTGTGAAGAAGAGAATGTTGCTGGCACGCTCTTTCACGATTTTCTGTCCAGGGCACAAGCCTGGGTCCCAGCCACTTTTGCAGGTATCCACCAGGGCGCCAGTGGCACGTGGAGGTCCCCCCAAGGACAGTGGTTCCGGCTTGACTATGTTGTAGTCCCCATTGGGTGGCTGGACTTCACCTTTTCTACAGAAGTGTTGTATGCCGTGGAAACTCTCCAAAAGAAAGACGATCATGTGCCTACCAAGCTCACCCTTTCGTTTCATCGTCATGCGCCTGCTGTTTCGTACCTATGCCCTCAGAAAAGGGTTGCCAGGCCAATACAGCCAACTACCCGTCATGGACGAGTGCAGGTGCGTCAGTCTTTATTGCAGGTCCCACAGGTACCTTGGCACGTCGATGTTGACGCGCATTATGCCCAGCTTTCCAGCTCTTGGAGGTGGCAAGCGCGTGGACTGACCGAACGCAGTGCGCCAGAACCCAGACAGCCTTTTCTGACCGATTCCACTCTTGGACTCATTGCCTTTCGCACTGCTTTGAGGCACTATTTAAGAACTGAGGCGGCGGAGCGGAGCAGGAGGTGGCTGTTCATTGGTTTTGCCGCCTTCGTCTTGGCCAGGGATCAAAATGCCTTCACGTCAGGTGCGTTAAGGAGCGCAGACGAGTGGCTGTGGGATCTTGATGTCAGTGAAGCCAGAGCCCTTTCCGCCCTGTATGTTTCTTCTCGGACCATCCGGCAGAGCGTGATACAGGACAGGTGCCAGTATTTAGAAGGTCTTGCCTCACAGGCTGCAGCCAAGGATCTTCGGGATTCGCGTACCCTTTACCAGTCTATCCGCAGGGCCTTTCCGGCCGCTCAGTCCTCCCGCCGAAGAGGACCCAAACCGCTACCTTCTCTTGTCTGTGATGATGGGACTCCAGCCCAGACGTTTGCTCAGCGTAACGAATGCTGGAGAGCGCATTTTGCTGCCCAGGAGGCTGGCATTAAAGTGAGCCCTGATGAGTATATCGAGCACTTTGCCAGCTATGCACAGCGCACTCCGTGGGCTATGGACATCCAGGCAGTTCCTACTCTACTCCAGGTTGAGAGGCATATACGATCTCTTCAGCGCGGTAAGGCAGCAGGCGCAGATGAGATCACGGCGGAATTTTTACGTCTCGATGCGCCCGTCACTTCACGACAGCTGTTGCCGGTACTCCTCAAGGCCTCGTTGAGGGCTGTTGAGCCGGTCGTGTTCCGTGGTGGGGAGCTCTTCCTCCTGGCCAAGCGTGCCTCAGCCTTGCTAGGATGCGATGGCTATAGATCAATCCTAGTGTCTTCTGTGCCGGGAAAGGTCTACCACCGTTGCCTCAGGCACCAGATCTTACCAGCCTTTGTCAGCCAGAAGGCGGTGTACCAAGGCGGTATCCAGCCCGGCCAAGGCATTGAGCTCATATCTCTGGTTGCTAAGACCTTCTTTGGCCATGCCAACGCCCAGGGCCAGGTTGCTGCCCTGATCTTCTTTGATCTTAAGGCTGCCTTCTACCAGGTCTTGAGGCAGACGCTAGTTGGCACATGTGACAGCGACGTTGCTCTCCGTCGTCTGTTCCATGCTCTCCATATACCGCCCACCGCCTTGAAAGAGTTGAAACAGCATCTTGAATGCGCATCACTGTTGGCGGATGCTGGTGTATCCAGTCACTCGCAGGCTCTGATCACCGACCTTTTTGAAGGCACTTATTTTCGTTTGTCTACCAGCGCGGTGATTACCCTCACGCAGCGTGGATCGCGGCCGGGAGATCCGATGGCCGACATTTTATTCGCGTTCACACTTTCTGCACTGACGCGTGCGCTGCAGGAAACTCTGAGCGGGCAAGGGCTTCTTGCCGAGTGGAAACAGCCCTCGAATCGGCCAAGCTTCATTCCTTATGAAGGGCAGTTAGATCTGGGGTGTCCTTCCTGGGCGGATGATTTCTTTCTCCCTCAGACGGCTCCTAATTTCGCGTCCCTTGTGGATAAGGTAACCAGGTCTGTTGCCTTGCTTGAAGAAAGGGCTGTTGTAGCAGGCATGACCATCAAGTATGGTCCTGAGAAGACTGCCGTTCTCCTTCCTGCCGAGCTTTTAGCGAGGCACTCTACGCTACTTGCCACCCATGAAGGTTGTTCAGGTTTGTGGATACCGGGCCCTTTCCAAGGGGTTTCCACGTTCCTTCCGGCAGTACAGGCCTATCGTCATCTTGGTGGTATCCTTACCTCGGATATCAATCCTACCCCGGATTTGCATTTGCGCTACTCACAGGCTATGGGGGTCATTAAGCCGCTCAGGCGTCGGCTTTTTGGGGCTCTGAAGTTTGACATTAAGGTCAGAAGCAACCTGCTGAGGTCTCTTGCGGTCTCACGATATGTACACTCTTCGGCCTCCCTTATGCTTCCTGCAGCCATCCATCGACGCTTGTGGGAGCGCCAATATCTATCGCTCTGGAGGCCGTTAGTGGCACGGACTGCAGCTGACATGCAAGCGCACAACTATGAGATCTTGCGGGTAGCCCAGGCTCCTTCCCCCCCTTTGGCACTTGCCAAAGCTCGTGCCGGTTGTCTTGCCAAGCTCTTCCTCAAAGGCCCTGTGGAGCTTTTAGCTCTTCTCTGGGATCACTGGGTGCAAGCCCCCAAGAAGTCGTGGCTCGGTCAGCTTCAGGACGACCATGCTGTTGTCGCTGCCCATGTTCCAGAAATCAATAACTGTTTGCACAGTTCGTGCGCAGTACAGGGTATCCTTGAGGCTTATGCTGAAGATGCCCAATGGTGGGGCAAGCAGGTCAACAAAGCTGTCAAGACTTTCCTGCAAGACCTCGAAGTTTGGAAGCAGGAGCGAAGGGAGCGTCCTCGCCAACAGGCGTTACGTGCAGCCCAGGCAAGTGCAGCCTTCTCCTGCTATCTCTGCGATGCTTCCTTTCCATTGAGGAAGCATTTGCATGCCCACCTTGCCCGTACGCATCAAGTCTATTCACCAGCCAGACACTATGCTATTGGGCCCGCTTGTTCTGCGTGTCTGCGGCTTTTTCCGGATGTTGTGCAGGCGCAGCAACATCTGAAGGTCTCTGGCCAGTGCCTCCAGCGTTGCCTGTACCTTCATCCGCCCCTCACGCTTGAAGAAATTCGCATACTTGAAGCTGATCGCCAAGCACAGGTTAAGCGTATCAAGCAAGGCGGCTGGAGCACCTATGTCGCTAAGGGGCCTCCACGGCGCAACCCAGTTGTCTTCGGCCCGCGTATGCCCACTGCTGAGGATAGGCTAACAGGTGCCGTCGAGGATGAAAGCGACATGGTGGCGTCGCTCGTTCGGCCCTTTACACCCAAGGCTTCACACGTAGTCTGGGTTACTGACTTCCTTCAAGGAAAAAGTAAGGAGGGCACTCGAGCAAGCGCAAGGTCTTTTTGGGCCCAGCGCCCGTCGTTTCACTCAAGAATTCAATAGCACGCAGTTTTGGGACGCGCTGCCCAGAGCCGTTCTGAACACCAGTTCGGCCAGCAACTCGACAGTCCGCAATCAATCAATCAATCAATACTATT